AATTATTTTTTTAAAAGTATAATCAATACCAAATCTCCTGGTAGAATAGTTCTTTTGCTACAAAAAGCGGAGTGGGGGGAGCTGTAATTGACGATAAAAAATATTCATAGGATGTGTTCCTTTCTTCTGTTAATGCTAGATATGGCGTCAGTCAAGTCAGCACAGTGACTCATACATTGATTGCTTCCACTGGCTGATGAGAGATTGGGCAGAACTTCTAAACTAAGGAACCTGCAAGATGGTCAGCACCTAAAATAACCAAAGAATCACTGAAAGAAGGAAGCAGAGGATAGTCTTTCTAGACTGGCACCTGTAGGAAGGCATCTTTTGACCCAGGTGCCGGCAAATTCTCCAGAATAAATTAGCACTTCTGCAAATTTTCATAATCCATTGGCATATTTACTATGTCACAACTCATAACAAAGGTGACCTAAGATATGATCTTGGGTTGATTAGAGAAATCTACTCAAATAAGTGCTTTGCATAGAATTCTCATGCACTCTAGTCACTAGACGACACTCTGAATTTATTTCCACTGACATTTTCCCCAAAGCGCTATTTAAAATTAATCTCCAAACGGTTATGTTTCCTTGAATTTCTCTTAGATTCTGACATAGTACAGCTACTGTGATGTAATGATTAATTTATGGTGTTTTACTGGGATTTGAGAGATTGCAAAGGGAACAAAGTGGATTGGGAGAAACCATGTAAACCCCTCTATCCCACTGGAGGAAGGCAAATTATAAATGTTACAATAGCCTCAGATATTCAGCATGAAACCACATAGAGCTAATAGAGTGGTGGAGAAGGGGATGCATATATAGACTCTATTTTCCATATTGCCCCCTGCCAATCCTGTAGATGTTTCATTTTCAGCACATAGACCTGCACAGGCATTGTAAATGCAACATTTCTATGATCTGTACTGGAGGAAGGCAAATTATAAATGTTACAATAGCCTCAGATATTCAGCATGAAACCACATAGAGCTAATAGAGTGGTGGAGAAGGGGATGCATATATAGACTCTATTTTCCATATTGCCCCCTGCCAATCCTGTAGATGTTTCATTTTCAGCACATAGACCTGCACAGGCACTGTAAATGCAACATTTCTATGATCTGTAATCCATTATGCAGTGTCTCCCCAGACCTTTGCAGCAGACATGGTGGGATTTTACCCTGCCCCTCTAGACCATGTCTAGTCCATTATGCAGTGTCTCCTCAGACCTTTGCAGCAGACATGGTGGGGTGTGGGTGGGTTTTACATGGATCTCCAGAGCACCACCACCCTTTAAGCCTTATATATTTTGAGTCTGGGGACTGCAACAGGGCGTATATAAATGTGGATGATATTTTCAAATCACCCAAGGCAAGGAACAGATCTGAGTTGCAATCAGCCTGCATATTTTCAGAAAAGGGCATCATCCATTTTTCTTTTTCTTTCTTTCTTTCTTTCTTTCTTTCTTTCTTTTTCTTTCTTTTTTTTGTCCCACAAACTCCAAAATGCAGTCCTATGTGTAATCTGAGAACTCTGAGACCTATCAGGGACTAAGCAGTTTATCCATTTTGAGACTGGTTCTTTGTAGACCTCACACCTACAGCATTTAATGTTTTTACTTTTCTGTGCCTTCTCACCTTCCCTGCTTCTTGTACCGTCTACACTGATTAAGAGTTCTGAAGACTTCAAAAGCTTATGATTTTTATATCATTTTGCTTGTTCCAATAAAGATATTTCAAAGGTATGCATTCCAGATGCTACTGCTAATGTTAAGAGTGATGATGATGATTTTGTCTCTCATGGACCACTTTGTTTTAATCTTGTTTTCAAAAAACAAATTGCATGTGGGAGGGTGATGTTCAGTAATATAAACATATTGAAAATAACTCATGCATACAAAAGCTAACCTTTGGAAATGTAGGTGGGAAATTATTTCCTGTCAATTGTCCTAAATTCAGGCTGACAGACAAGATGCAAAAGCCATGATATACTTTTGTTAACAACCAGAAATTACATTATTGTAAAATGAAAAATGCTATGTATGGCTTAACGACAACAATGGAATTCTTTGGTAAAGTATTGACAGAAGTGTCTTAATATTAAGATGAAGTTATACTTTAATTCTCAGAGAGAAAAGATAGCTAAAAGAAGTAGATAATAGAGAAATGATAAATTTGATTAAATATTGAAATAGAAAGTATTTTTAGATTAAAATATATCAAAATTTCTATTCTACCTTGAAGACTAAATCTCTTTCTGTGGTTGCCAGAACAGAGGATGCACCTTTAGCAGGAAACACACTAGTCAAGACTGAAATTGTTAAGTCTTGTCTGACTTTCCTCATAGTATCTTGAGCCACCCTGCTCCTCCCAGAGGATACAAGGTCCCCTTTGCTACTGCAGCTGGTGAAGAAAGCCATGTGAAAGGCTTGCGGAAGCCACAGATGGGTGCAAGTGCCTTCCAGTTGATCAATTCATTCAGAGATAAACACACAATCTCTGGCTTACAGTCATTTCTCTCTCTCTCTCTCAATCTCTCTCTCTCTCTTCAAAAACAATTCATGCTGGACTGGAAGAGATTCTGTTTTGCCTAAAGAATGGTACTTAGCAGAGGCACAATTGCAAAGAATGGTACTAGCAGAGGCACAATTGTAAAGAATGGTACTTAGCAGAAGCACAATTACTTCTTGATTGTCCTGTCAAAAGAGCCCGTCATTCTTTTACCAGCATTACACCATCGCCATCTTCTGGATACTTCCAGTAGCACCAAAAGACAGGAAGGTAGAAAGAAGCACCTACGAGTACATCACAATCGACCCATTGTCCCTTCACACTTATTTAACTGTTGTTGTTGTTAGTCATGTCCAACTCTTCCTGGACGATAGCACATCAGGCCCTCATGTTTTCCACTGCCTCTCGGAGCTGGGTCAAATTCATATTGGTACAGTAGCTTCAATGACACTGTCCAACCATCTCATCCTCTGTCGTCCCCTTCTCGCACTTTCCCAACATCAGGGTCTTTTCCAGGGAGTCTTCTCTTCTCATGAGATGGCCAAAGTATTGGAGCCTCAGCTTCAGGATCTGTCCTTCCAGTGAGCACTCAGGGTTGATTTCCTTTAGAATGGATAGGTTTGTTCTCCTTGCAGTCCAGGGGACTCTCAAGAGCCTCATCCAGCACAATTCAAAAGCATCAATTCTTCGGCGCTCAGCCTTCTTTATGGTCTAGCTCTCACTTCCATACATCACGACAGGAAAAACCATAGCTTTGACTATGCGGACTTTTGTTGGCAAGGTGATGTCTCTGCCTTTTAAGATGCTGTCGAGGTTTGTCATCACTTTCCTCCCAAGAAGTAGGCATCTTTCAATTTCATGGCTGCTGTCACCATCTGCAATGATCATGGAGCCCAAGAAAGTAAAATCTGTCACTGCCTCCATATCTTTCCCTTCTATTTGCTAAGAGGGGATGGGACCAGTGGTCATGATCTTCATATTTTTGATGTTGAGCTTCAGACAGTTTTTTGCACTCTCCTCTTTCACCCTCATTAAGAGGTTCTTTGTTGTTGTAGGTTTTTCGGGATCTTTGACCGTGTTCTGAAGGTTGTTCTTCCTAACGTTTCGCCAGTCTCTGTGGCCGGCATCTTCAGAGGACAGCACTCTGTGCTCTGGCCAGTAAACAAGTAAACAAAGCTGTGTTTCACCAAAAACATTCTTATTTTTCAAAAAGATCAGGGTGAAGTCAGCACTTAGCTGTGGTAGAGTTAAAAGAAGAGGCATAAAAGAGAATGCTGACGATTAACCTGGACTGATGATAGGGATAATCTAAGAGAATGAATTCCTGTTTACAAGTGTAAAGGGCAACCCCAAACTTAGTGCAAGAGTTCGGGGGTGGTTTTTTTCAGGTGGCTGTGCACACAGGCAGAGAAGGGAGAAAATTCTGTGAGTGTACTGTACCTGGTTATTAGCCAAAAACAATATAAAAAATAAAGAATGCACAAATGTGGCACCTTGAACACTAACTGCTATATTTTAGTGTGAACTTTCCTGGAGAAGTCCACTTCTTTAGCTATACACGGGCCTGGCGTGCTCTGGTTCATGGGGTCACGAAGAGTCGGACACGACTAAACGACTAAACAACAACGAGTTGTAGAAGAGGTAGCTGTGTTAGTCTGTGCAAGCATATCAGGCAAAATCAAAAGAAACAAAACAGAACAATACAAAAAAAGGACAAAAACATGTGGCACCTTAAAAACTAACCATCCTATTTTAATATATGCTTTTGTGGAGATGAAGTGGATGTGCCCACCAAAGCTTACATTAAAATATAATGCTTAGTCTTTAAGCTGCCACATTTTTGTCCTTTTTGTTTTCTTTGGATTTTGTCCGATATACTTCCTCAGCTAGTTAGCTATGCACCATCAACTTATAGGGACCCAAATTGGCCTTTCAAGGTCAGTGAGACATTTAAAGAGTAATTTTACCAGTTCCACTCCCCCAGTGGGTTTCTATGGTTAAAAGGATTTTCAAACTCTGTTCTCCAGAGTTCTCGTCCATCCCTCTATTATATACACACTCACTTTCCTGGATACCTACGGTTCTCTTCTACC